TGCCATTTTTACAAGTTTCGACCTCATGACCCCGTGCCATTCATAAGCCTTGTCTAGATCCCATCTCACAAGACGTCAATGATTTTTCTTGATAATTTTAACGATATGGTCTGATAGAATAGCTTCCAGAGTACCTATTGAATGAAAAATATCACGGTTTGATCGAGGGGTTGACCTTTGAAAGGCCGCCATCTAAGGCGCAATCTCAGCAGAAAATTCACACGAATTCTACGCCAGAACACCCACTGTGTCACCAAAGCTGCTTGAATTGATCAGAGAAGTGTGTTATAGCCGGGGCTTGCCAAAGTCTTGCTATCTTTTGTCTTTTGTGTGACTGAAATGAAAATCTTTGTAGCTCCTTAGGAATTCATTAAGATAGTATTTGTAGAGTTTGTTGTGTACTCTCTATAGATCTTTTGTGGCCTACCTCAATGGGGCCATCACATGCAAATAGTATGTGATCAGATAACAATAAAGATCGCCTTATAATGTTATTGTAGCGAGGTTTAGAAGGGATCACTAGACCAGTGGTTACGGCGGTTGAGGTATGATCTTTTTTTCCATTCCTGCGCAACAATCCTGGATAGGTTCATTCGATTGGGCCCTAATATATCAAAATTGAACCAATTATACATTTGACCTTTGTAATAGCTAAGTAACGAGTCATTCTTTGCGTTGGCTGGGGAAATCCAAGGAGACCTCACGATGTATTAGGACCATATTCAACTTTGACCAAGCCAGTATCCAGATGTTTTCTATACAAGTCCCTAGAACATTTCACTCTATAATCCAGACAAAGCTTGGAGAGGCTTGAACGTAGATTGCTCAATGTATTGCTGATTCGGGTTAATCACTTGCAACAACCAGTGGATAGGATATACATAAGCCCATGAGAATTTACATGGCATTTTCTTATATTTCTAGGGAACCTCTCTATAAATATATAAGCCATTACCATCATGCATGAGATTGCCATTCTGCTACCAGACAAACTAGCATACCTACCTCCCAGCCTCCGAAACTCCCCAGTATCAATGTCTGCCACGTAATCTTCGACGTGAGACGCGCATTCGCACAAGCGAGGCACCATCTCCTGCCAAAGTTATAGAGATAATTAGTAACTAATTAACAAAGTAACTTTGTATGTAATATCGGCAACGGAGGGCACTATTTGTCGCGATAATCACCGTTGACTAATGCTGTGTTTGCTGCATCATCTCAGGCACAAATGAGGAAAAAGGATAGGCCGTTCTCTTGAGCTAAAAGGAATATACAATAGAGTACAGATCGAGTGCATTTTACAGCTGTTCATCTCTTCTTGTGTCCAATTCGATTGTTGAATGCTGTCCGCATTTTGCTCTTCCTTCTCGATCGAGCCCAGAGTGACAAACAGCTGGCTGCAGGTGCAAGATCCGAGTGTTAAGGCGTCACAGAGATATACCTGAAAGCTAGGGTTCGTTTAGGGAATTTCTTCTCTTTGAAATGAGACTATGGTATATGTATGTGTGTGTGTTTGTTCGTTTACATCCACTGAACATGATGGCGCTGAGAGTGATCAAATCAAGGAGAAACATGGGGGCCTGGTTATATCATCTGGGTCTGGATCCATACCTAAGCGTCGGCGGATGCCTCTCTTTTCATGTTAAAATGGGATGTAATTCAATTGAATGCGTCAAGGTTATGAAATGTGCGAAATGAACTGCACTAAGCGAAATCTGCACTCGGGATACACTTCGCATCCTCACCCCCCTTTCCCAAGATTATACGGACTGGCCTTGGAGCAAGTGCTTGATTAAGGAATAACTACAGATCAACAATCTCCGATGTCACAATCTACCCATTCATTCAGTCTTTCGTCCAATTTTCACTCATTCAGTCATCAATCCAGCACCCCCAGGTGCACCGCTGCGAGGTTCGATCACATGCCTGGAGGCCAAAGCTGCCAAACTGAAAGATCAGGTTAGGTTTGGAGGGGCGTAATAAACAGCCCAACAACTGCAGAAATTGTTCAAACAAACGCCGTCATGCGCGCCTCAGTTTGCCCGAGCGAGCGAGCGGGTGTGTTGTGAAATCTTAGCTCTGAACTCAACCCGGAACGAGCTGCCGGGTCAGCCACAGCTTCCGTCCCATCGTCGACTGTTGATTTGATTTGATTTGATCTTTTGATCTAATCTAATCTGACTCGTCATGAAACTTGATCTGTGCCTTGTATATAACATGACACCCGCATCCGTGTGCAATCGTGCAACCGTTTTGCTGATCATAGGATGTCGCTCGAGAACCCTCTGAAATCTAGGTGACTGCAGAACATACGCCTTTCAGCGGGATAGATTACGATTGGCATATGGTAAAAGTTTCACGACTTGAGATCTTGTTCGGCAATTACACAGGGTCTACAACGCCTCAGGTCGCCGAATCGAACGCCCAAGGCTCAGTCATTGACGTCAAAGGCAAAGTGGTACAGAAAATCAACCAAGAAACTTGGCTCCAACAACAACCAAGATTCGCGCCCGTATGCGTACCATTCGTCAGTCTTTCATATTTAGGTTTACCTAACCAATTGAATATGGCCTATCACGATCAAAACGTGTCAAAAAGCCAAGTTCTTGGCTTTGGAACTGGTTGTGTTTTGGACTTGGATATTTGTTGAAATCTTCATGTATATAGATATATCACATCTTTCCTTATACGGCGAGATCTGGCCGTAGAGTACCATTGTGCCAGACGGGGGATTTGAAGCCAAAGTACTGGACTACCCTCCCAATAATACCTTGATTAATTTGCTTGACATTCCTTTCATATAGTTTCACCTTAACTATTCAGGCGTTATCTTCTCCCACTCCGAAGTTGGTAAGTCAATGCCATGTAAACCCTCATATTTTGGTGATTCAAAAGGTTCCCAATCCTTTAACACGTCGCCATTCGTGATCTCCCACACTTTTACGTCCAGTGGGCGACAAGTTGCAAGCATATCAACCGCGCCACCTCCAAAAGACCATGCGGAGAGATCGCCGCCTGGACATGTAGACAAGGCCATCAGGACATCAATTTCGGCGAAGAATTCGATGTAGTCTCCAGCCTTTGCGGGACACGGTCGCCTGATCAACCGCCGGTCAGCTTCACAGAAAGAAAACCAACATCGGTAGTGGATTCAAGTTTCTCACATAAAATATTTATCATCTCTGTTGAGTCCAGTGACTTGGAATATGTTGATTACATCGTGGACATCATATTCAGACAGTCCCCATGGCATGATGGCCCTCGTGAGGTTGGAATGACAATGATAGTCAAAATCATCGCCGGTCAGCATCTTATTCACTACTCGGTCGTTAATCTCAACTTCATCTAAAACCGAAGGGTAAAGCGAAGGGGTTCGAAGAGTCGGTATGAAGACTGACCATAGGGATCACACCTCGTGCCAAGCAAATCATGCACCCGACCCCCAACCGCGTCCGTTCCGTATTTGTCCCCTCCCAGCGAATCACCCACAATTGTGACCATGGGCCGCAAGAAAGGCAAACAGCTCCAAAGGCGATCAAAAGTAGTTACATGGGCGGCATGCAATTGCTTCGTTCTACTCGCCCAGAACTTCTCCCTTGGATTGTGTAGACTCCAGATATTCAAGTCGCCAACCTGCGGGCCCTCTAACGTGCTGATGCGGCAGATGTGGCCTGCGGGCACACGCCATGCTCGCCCGCTGCGAATCGGGACTGTGAAGTCCTCTAGCGGCTTGCGAGCAGTTGTCTCTGCCACTCGAGTGTAAAATGCGCGATTGGCGTGTAGGACTGATCCTTGGGAAGCCACATAGCTGGCCGGAGGCACGCAAGATCCCCCGCTTTGGACCACCACATCATGCGACATTTGTAGATTAAAAGTCTGAAACTAGTGCCAGACGAAGACAAAGAACACAAAAAAATTAGGGATATTCTCATGCTAGCAGGAATCAATTATAATGTATGGTGGCCATAAAATGATAAGGGCTTTTCAAGTGCCCGGTGTTACTGCTAAGTCTCTGCGCTTTCGTTGATCGGTCCATCATACCTATCATATTTCGGACTGGAGTCCCGGGAAATTGACACAGTATAACACAGTGACTCCAATGGATATCAAATTTGGAGGGAATATAAGCCAGAAAATCGTAGACTGTGGCCGTTGAGGCATCCAAGAATATTTGTGTTGCCTGCCAATACCCACTTACACATGATTATAGCCGATGGCTTTCGCAATTTACCCCAGTCGGCCGCTACGGCGATGCCGCCGACAGTCCTTATCCAAATTAGGAAAAGATGCGAAACACCTAGCGTATCTTATACCCCTAACAGTCCTAATCGCCGGGCTTAGACTCGCCATCGGCAGCTACGGAGGTATCGCCGACAAGGCTGGAGTTAACCGCCACTCATGCATAGTGCGCCTCCCAATCATTGCAAGATGATAACGGCAGTGTCTGTTCACTGTGTGCTGGTCATGACAATTGGCGTACGTTGGCTTCCTTGGAATGTACAGACTTACATGGTGGCAATCTGTGTCAAGATCTGGAACAGGTGATCGCCCAGCCGTTCGAGACTTGTGAGCAGCGAGCAAGTGCACACGAGCAATGAGTATCTCCTCTGTAGTTATTTCAGTGGTCTATGCTACAAGGTAGAGTGAGATGCTACTCGTGCTGTGTGCCGAGATATCTCTCCACCACTCGACGCAAACGCATTTGTGACGCGACCACAAAATATACACTGTACAAGTTGGAAGTAATGTAAGGATGTACTAAATCAAATACTGGCCCCGTATTTATTTCATCAGGTTTCGGCCAGAGCACCTGTCCTATACACAGTAGAATACACAATGAGACATCATACTATTGTCTTTCTTCACAGCAATTATATAATACACGATTTTAGACTTCATATATAGAGAGATTTCATGCTGATACAGTATATTAGAGCCTACTTTTGTAAAACGCACTACATTGCGCATCCCTAAGGTAATGGAAAACTATAGGAAACACTCTATTCCACGAATTTGCCCATGCCATTACCCACGGCATTTGCGTCCATTTGCAAAAGCTCGGCTGGGTCCTTGTGGTCTCCTACGAAGCCAACACCACCGACGGCCTTGTCTGTGAAAACGGGGTTAGTTTCAAGCTTCGTCATGAACTCATGGGGCCGTTCGTACAGTAGCCGGTCAGTCTAAGGATGTCTTCGGGCAGAGTACGAGCAGTCTTTATAGGTGTAGAAAGTATCTCCTGTTGATCCTGGCGGTAAAAGTCTCGTTGACTGGGGCAGACAACGTCAGCAAAAGAGCCATGCTGGCAACGCCAGTCATAACTTACCCGAATATGGCGAATAAGGTCCTCAAAGCGTCTGGATCGGTCCTCTCGCATTGATTTGCGCCGCCGCCGTGATAAGTAGCTGGGAACAAGGTCGGATCAGCTACCGTTGCGAATTCTGCCTACCCTCGAACAACTTACTGCCAAGCGTGAACAGTGCCGATCCAGGGTCCATCTCCGCGTATGTGCACTCTTCAACTTTGGGCGCCCGTTCAGGACCCCACAAATGACTTCTAGGAATGACCGCTGTAGCCTGGAGCCCATTAGTCCTATGCTCAATGGTTAAGAGCCATCTAACTCACGCCATTCTTGTACGTCGTCCTGGATCCTGCGATCAGACAGCCGACCATGGGGGTGAAAAGTGGGTTTTTTGGGTCGAACAAGTTGCCAGTGCCGTAATTGACGTCGTCCTAAAGGGTGCATGATAATTAGGACAGACACAGTCGGGCAGGATTCTGATCAGCCTACTCTGTGCAATGGTTGTTTCTCACTTCCTGGAACCAAGCGAATGGCTGCCGTGGATGATAAAATGTATCCGCTCTTTCGACTGGTCTTATTTTCTCCATTGAACGCAGCGAATTCTCCGCTGAATCACCTCTAATTTAGCTTTTATCTTCTGAGTTGCGATATCGTCCGTCAGCCTTACTTCAAGAAGTGAGCCATTATGCCCTGCCAGACAGGCAAGCGAATAATCTTGATGATTTGCTCTGGCATCTTGGCTAAGAGACCCTGTACCGCGCGTTAGACTTGGACACGTAGGCCCGTCCAGAACACTGTTCTTTACGCACATATATACGCTGAGAGCCCTGCGGAAAGAAATCTTCACCAAATTCTCTATGCGTTGACCTGGAGTCGTACATCTCCCCGCCTGAAAAGAACTTCTCGACTATTGGACACGTGAGCTCAAATTATGCTTGGGCGATGAATATCGGGCGCCATACTCACCAGCACGCATCAACTCATTCAGGAGCTCGGGAGCAAGGAAGTTAGATACAACCACTCCGCCATCCCGAGCTATGATGGCTAGGATCTTGTCCAAAGGCTCGGAGGCGTCGATGGTGGTGAGTTTAGGTGCCATTGCTGATAGTACGATGAGACTCAATAGTTCAGTGGAAGGAAAGGAGGAGTTAAGGAAGATTATGCGTCGACGCTAATCTTATATTGATCTATTGGCTACAAGCATCATTCTTTGATAGCGCATGAGCTCCGATCTCGTTTGCTGATGTCGGGACTGACCTCCGATTTCAATGGTATCAGCGGAGTTCAATATTCTCGAACAGTGCGCATTCACAGTGCCATCCAATGGTCCGTCGTAAAGTCGTAGAGTCTAATGTGTGTCCATTGTTCGTGCTAGGTAGTGAGACTAAGTGACATCTGGCAGCCAGCTGGCCAGCCAGGTGGCCAGCATCGGTCAAAAGCATAAATAACTTGGTGCTCGCAGTGAAAAGACACTTGCCTTCCACCCACATTCTCCTCTATACCCGGCCATCCATTCATCGCCATGGACCATTCGACTAATTTTCGCAGTTCTGATAAAGATCTCGGCAAGGGGGACGTTGAGGCAACTCGCGCCGTTTCTAATGAGATTGGACAAGTTGTTAGGCAAATCCCATTTTTTAAGTCTAATGGTTTTAGCTAACTAACGGCATTTGATATATTACAGAAGTACGAAACAATCCAGGGTTCAAGCTCCGTAGACCCCAATGGAGCCAGCGGGAGTATGGATTCGGCAATTCAGCAAGCTGTCAACCATCGTCGATTGAATTCTAGGCAAATCCAGTTATTTGCCGTTGCCGGAGCCATCGGAAAGTAAGTCTTCTACTTGACAAGCATCACTCAGCTCGTTTTATCTACTGATTCGCTTCCGCAGCACTATCTTCGTGAGCATTGGCAAAGGCGTTCTATGTGGTCCTCTTGCCCTGCTCATGGGCTTTCTCCTCTGGTCTTCCGTCATTTTTTGTATGGCGCAATGCCGTGAGGAAGATTCACTTGCAAGTTCTGACACACATGCTAATGTGTGTATACAGAGCTGGAGATAGTCACACTTTTGCCTGTGGATGGAGCCCCAATTCGTTTAGCTGGACGTATGATTGATCCCGCTGTGGGTGTAGCCGCCGGCTGGAATTACTTTGTGGGCACAGGTCTACCTTAATGCGAGCGCTTAAATGACTGACCGTCGCAGTTTGTGATGACTTCCTATGTTATGTTCGAAGCGACTATCATAAACACCATTGTCCAATACTGGGGCTATGACGAGTCGCCTGCTATTCTCATTTCTGGTAGGGTGCTTAACGACCGACCGCCCGGACTCGGCTTACAATTGCTCCAGTCACATTAATCTTTTTCTTTTTGATCAATGTGTATCGGGCAGATATCTTCGGCGAAGTTGAATGCAAGTAAGATCTGATCTCTCTGCTGTTGCCATACTGACTTTTCGCTGTTTCTAGTCTGGGTGGCGTTCGTTAAGATCCTCCTCGCTATTGGGCTCATTCTGTACACCTTGGTTGTCATGCTGGGAGGTAATCCTCTACACGATCGCTTTGGCTTCCGATATTGGAAGAATCCGGGCGTTTGGGCCGGAAACAGTGGGCTCACACGCTTGGAGTCATTTGTCAATGCTGTCAACGTCGCAGGTTATTGTATAGGAGGACCAGAGTATCTCTCGATGGTCGCTGGTGAGTCTAAAAATCCCCGCCGGGTCATTCCACGGGCTTTTAGGACCATTATCTATCGGCTACTCCTCTTCTGCGTCGTCGGTTCCATTTGTGTCGGTATTCTCGTTCCATACGACGATAAGAGGCTGACCGGCGGTACCTCGAGCTTTGCCGGAGGATCACCATATGTCATTTCTATGCAACGTCTCAATATCCCAGTCCTACCGTCTATCGTCACTTGCTGTTTACTTACCTTCGTTATCTCCGGCGGTATTAACTTCACATTTAACGCCTCGAGAGCCCTGCACGCCCTGGCATTAGAAGGGCAGGCACCAAGGTTTCTACGCCGCCTGAATAAGAACGGGGTTCCTGACTTAGCTGTCATCGTTGTTATGCTTCTATCATGCCTGTCTTATCTGGCTCTTGGCTCCGGAAGTGCCGAGGTACTCAATTGGCTCCTGAATTTCAGCACTGCTTCTGCCATGTTTTACTGGTGCATAATGTCCATGACATGGATTCGCCTCAACGCCGCCATGAAGGCTCAGGGCATCGACAGGAAGACATTCCTCCCGTCTGTGTCGAGATGGCAGCCTTTCGCGGGATATTGGGCTTTCGGCTGGTCGTTCCTATTCCTCTGGATTCAGGGCTACGCTGTTTTCCTCAAAGGCAACTGGCAAATCTCCACTTTCATTTTCAATTACGGCATCATTGCATTCGCCGTTGTCATTGGTATCACTTGGAAAATAATCAAGAGAACCCGATTCAACCGCAGCAAAGAAGTCGATCTTGATTCGGGACTCGAATTCTTTCAGGTCCTGACTGAGCACTACGAACGCGAACGTGAGGCGGCACCTGAGACCATCAAAGACAAGATCTTGGGGAAGCTATTCTGAGGTCATAGGGTCTTATTATCGCCTAATCCGATGACCCCAGAGCGCTCAGAGAACCATGTCCGGTATGTTGACGCTACTGCGACTAGACCTTGTCCTTGGCTGGAGATTTAAATGCAAATTAGCTATTTTAGACAAGTTTTAAAGGGCTTCAAAGCCAAATTTGACCTTTGCTGAGGGTACTTTGTACTTTGCGATACACAGGGTAACATATAGTTTAGTTGCTCTGGAACCTCACAAAGTCATTTCCTAACCATTGCCTCTCTACCTGCTTGTCCTTACGAAAGCCACCGTAATCTGATCTCACACCCACAAGCACCATTCAGGACCAGTGAGAAAAGCTCAAGCCAGCATCCGTGCTTGGAAACAGAACGTCGTTTTCCCGCTGCTTGGATCATATCCACCCATATTCGCTCCGTAAAGAGGCACTCCGAGCAGCTCGTCTTGCAAAGCTGAGAAGTTGAAACCCCCGTCAGTGCCACGGACACTAATGATAATGTGCGGCGAATGTGGATGCTGACCTCGTAAAAGCTCTGCGGTGTGTGCGCTGGCTTCTTCTAAACCCTCAGGGAGATCGGCATGTGTTACTGGCGTATTTGTGTGAGGTTTGCCTGCCGCTGGGACATCATATGACTACTGGACGGCATCGAGGGCGCTGAGGATGTTTCCAGACCCTTCGGCCCGACCACCGAACTCAGCAGGTCATATTTGGCTGCAATGTGGCTGTTCTCGCGCTCTCCCGATATTTCGCAGTAGTTGCAGACCGGGGTGCATTGCAGCGGTGTTATCCAGTGTACTGGAGAGGGCGACGCATACCATGACCAAGACGATGATGTGGCGGATACGATATGCTCTCTACCAACATATCCATATGCAGCTGCCCATGTCACTCTGAAGACCGCTCTTTCGGAACTGAACACGAATCGTGTCAGTACATAAACCTCTTGATTTATGTTGCCACGACCGATGGAGGATACGAATCTGTTTCGCGTTTCGCCGTACCGACTAGATTTCTCTCGGCCGCTTTGCTCATCATGTTAATGACGTTCTTCGCCCTACACCTCCGCCGGGGTTTTTAATGTTAATTAGGCGAGGGATCACGACTCTTCAAACAAGGGATTGCTACTTTTGTCAAGGCCAGTGGGGCTATAGAAATAAACAGAATATTCGAAGCCTCAATCAGGTAACGCGATCCTAGTTTTTTCAGTATCTTCACCCTTGACGAACTAACAATAAATACCCCGGTGGAGGTGTACTTATGTACGCCTCAATCATTCCGACGATGATCGCTGATAAACCAGTCTTCCAAGTGTCGTCCTTAACCTCAGCATACCCTCCAATATGGCTTCTCTCGCGAATTTTGTGCACAATTCGTCTAAGTGGCGGTGTCACCGTCACGTTGATGCGTTGGTAGTAGTGTGAGAAGAGGCGGACAATCTCACGGCTGATAAAGAGCCGAGCCGGGTCGAAGCCTAGCTCGTGTGGGCAAGTCGCGGTTCTACTCTGACAGCTTCGTGAGGATATGCTGCGTAGAGTCCATCAACTTCTTGCCTGTGGGTTCCTCGCTTCTTCTGCTGTCCTGTACATGTTATAGATGGTCGCATGTATTTCGCCTAAAATGCGAGACATCTGAGTGCGGTGCCGAAGAACGGACACAGTTCTTTCGGAAGTTGTGGGGGAATTTGGATGTTGATCTCTGGATCTCGAATTAGCGGTAAGACTGCCGGAATTTATGTTGAGGTACGGTCCGGGCTATAGACATAAGACGGACCACCCAGACGCGGCGTTGGGGAGGCGTCATCACACTGACAAAGGGGTAGCTGAGTATGGAGGCCTATAGGGCCAACTGGCTCTTTTCAACTTCTGAGCCAATCGGGTCCTTTTCCGTCATTCTGGCCACTAGTAACAACTAGTAACTCACAAAACAAGTACTATCAAAGTATCTATCTCTCATAAGGCTTCTACCACTACAGTTATAGAGCTTCTACCACTATAGTTATAGGGCTCTTACTATCATAGTTATAGGGCTTTTACCACTGTAGGGTTAGGGTTAGGGTTATTTAGTGTAGCACTTTAGGTAGGTGCCATAGGTGCTGTAGGTGCTGTAAGTGGGTATTCCCGTATTAGTAAGGTACTTGGATTATAAGTATAAATTTCTGAAAAAAAAAAGTTGAAAAATTAAAAGAGCCAGTTGTGCCTATAGGCCTCCGTAGGTGAGCTAACCCAAAATGATGTGGTCTCCTGGCCCGACTTACTCGACCACCGGAAGCTCGGGCTAGTATTGATCCGCGGACGGTTTGTTCTCCACATTCTGCCGCAGCATGAGCGATTTGGCCAGGATTAGATGTACATTGTAGACGACCTCTCCAGCCATCGTCAAGGCGTGAGTTTACTGCACCTAATCTGGAGCACCCAGCAAGAACCCTGCACATGTAGAGGAGATCCCAAAAAAAAAAAAAGGCTATCAGCATCCAGGAGGTATTTCTTGCGAACGCCAATCCAACGACTTCCCCGGAAGATGCAAAGATTCCAGG